TGTATACGAGAGCAAGCAATCTAAAGATGAAAGTTAATGCTAATATTCAAGCTTTATAAGTCAAAGATTGAGTACATCTGTACCATTGTAACAGATTTTCAGCCGTCACTAAGAGTTCTCAGCCACTTGTTCTTCCATCTCGGGGATCCTAACCAGACAGTCTACATTTCACTACACGATTCATACCAACAGTCATTGACTGCTGTCAGGTCTTAGTTTGGCTACCCTGAACCCTTTTCGAACCTGGTTCAGCGTTCCATGGCGTGGCACACCAAGGAAGGCGGTGGCTTGGCGTAAGCAGTAAATGTCCAAGCCGTCTTACTCGACTAAAGTTCAAAACCTCACAAATCGACTTGCCTATCTTCTCTAGTACTCTTCATCTAATCTCAAAATTGACCACTTAGTGATCGCATTAAAAGTGAGCAATGCTACAAAAAAACCTGTGACCGAAACCCCTTAATCGCTTCGTTTTCTACTTTTAACGGCTATTTTTTACAACTGAGAATACTCGTCCTTTGATATATAGTCGAATATCTCGCCAATCGGAGCTGTGGATAACGCGAGGTGGAAAATGTCAAATAGGCCTTCTGTATCCGAGCCAAGATTCCGTCAGCAACCGTCCCGTTCAGGCTGATGCAATTCCCTAAGTAAGTGAATTGATCGACACATTTCCAGTTTGTTTCACAATGAAGCAATAATAGCTTCATTCTTAACTTACTTCAGTAACTTACCTTCTCATATATCGCTAAAATATATTGATACTTTCAGTGAAATATAGTGGTCGTTGTTGTTTTAGGTAGATAATATTCGAACGTCAAATATATATTTCATCTCAATGACAGACTTCAATAGCATATAATCATAAAGATATGTGACAGTTAGTTGTACTGTTTAAAAGCTGCATGCATAAAAAGTGAGTAGACAATATTGAATACTTAGTGGAGCAGCCAAAGTAACTACCTATAGAGGAGTAGTCAAAATGATTAATAAAAGGAAACGTCGCCAGTCTAAGCGATTCATCTTTCAGTCTTCCTGTCACCATTGGATCTGCATAAAAAACGATTTAGAATTTCCCAGCAATGAAAGTCCTTTGAATCGATATGCATAGTTTATGAATTAACGTCTCCCTGGACAAATATTGTGTAAAGTTATCAGTTCATCCTTGGCTGTATCTTCCCTTATTCCATGACCAAATTTCGTAATCAAATTTCATTTGGAATGAAAATAAACGAAGCTGAGAAAAAGTGTGTACAGTGGCATCAACGTAAACGCCTACTCTTTCGAGAGAACATCCAGGGAAACAATTTCACCTTCACTCTGTCTATGCTGTTTTCTCATAGAATCAACATGTCATCCATGTTATCGATAGTAAAATGAAAATTCCCTGATAAATACTTTCAAAGATATTCTGTCTAACAATGGATGCATTCGTAAGAATCAAACAGAAAATGCGCTATAAAGCATAGAATGCGAAACGAATATTTTATACAGGTCATTGAAATATTCACAGGAAATGATCTAACACAAAATACTTGAGTGGACTTCCCATAAAGCCAAAACACAGAGCGTGTAATGTTCAGGTTAGTAGATTAAAGAAAGAATATTTTAGGGGAAAGTTTACATTATAAATTGATCGGAATTAATTTGTGCGGTGATACTTTAACTCCAACTACAAATATCTGTTCACATTCTTAAGCAGTTTGCCACAGTTTGTTGATTCAAGAATCTTACAAATAAAAAGCAAACATTTATATTAGGAGATATATTTAAGTTGGAGGTATAGAGTGTTTATTATTTTGAATGCATTATTTGTTGCTGGACCGACTAGTTGAACGACAACTTATTTATTACCTGATAACAAGCGTCTTCTTCCATATAGGTTGTAATGATAACTTATATCCACAAGTGAAGAAATCACCGAGGGCGTAGAAGGTTCTGGTTGAATATAAATAGGAGTGAATTTTATAGATAAATTCATAAATACATGCTAATTTGAGGTGACTTTCACCACCTCTGATCACTCACAAAAATTCTGTAATTTATTCTGGTAAACAAACTGTATGACCTTAGAATTCCGTGTTGCATAGTCCAGTTTGTCAGCATGACGAGGAACGGTATTGTCAATACCTACTAACTAAGTTAAATAACTCAATAAATTCTCGATCTGCAACAATATCCCATAAGAAGGAAATAATAGGGACCCCACGAGTTTCAGTGTAATTCAGAACATCAGTAAGAATGTTTAGAAAATTACCAGGTCTTAAATTATCTAATCCATTTTTATTGATTACTATGCGCTGCTATCATGCGTAATAAATTCCAGAATATGTCACTCATTGTAGATAAGTAGTGTAGGCTGATATGCCCTATCTTTCAGAAACTTTTTGACTATACTCACCAATGTAAACTTTAAAAACAGTAGCCGATGTCATTAAACCTTCCTTATGAAATCCTAGTATCCTACACTTAAGATACAATGGCAATTAATGAGAATATCTCTGTTTTTTAAGCAATCAAAGATTGATAATCTTGATAAATGAAAAAGAGATCCATACAATGCTGAAAGCTTGGAAACCTGAGAGCACTGGACAGCTGTTTCTTCCTAGTATGGGACTCTTCAGTAGAGCGCACCCATGACCATACCAGAGATCGAAGTCGATGTATTCAAGTTAACCACGTTAACTTTGAGCCACTGGATCGAAATCCAACGGTTCATATTTCTAACACCATACGGCTACTGTGTTGAACTAACAGAAGTATGAAATGTGGAACATTGGATTCCAACCCAGTGGGTCAATGGTAACATGCTGGCTGCGGAACCTGAAGATCGTGGGTTCGATCCCTGGCGAGACTGGGTCATGGGTGCGCACTACTGAAGGGTCCCATACTAGGAGGAAACAGCTGTCCAGTGCTCTCAGGTTTCCAGTGTTACTCCAAATGATATCAGTCCATAGTAAATAACAACTTGAAAAATTCGCATTTAGTTAGTATATTTTTATGCAGAATACATATGACTACTGTTCCACGACTGAACGAAAAGCAACGACAATCTGAACGAACAGTGTTCTTTTCAATAAATTCTCATCAGGTTCTGTAATTATAAACTGCATTTGCACAACGTAAAATCAAGCCAAGTCAAGGGCAATTACATTTTCAAAATGGTGAGAGATTTAGGGATTGTAATGAAGTTGATTTTCCTGTCTTAAATTTTTCAATATTGAGATGACACATATAAAGATGAATGATATGATAGTGAACAGAAAGATAATGAATAACGCAGATAGGAGTGGCCTTACGTTTACTGAATGCCAAGGAAGTAGTGACGATTGAACACCATCTGTCTCAATTCGCAGTTCAGGTTTGATCAACCTTAATGTGACAGCTGGCGTTGGCGAGCAACATGTCATATCGTTTTTGGAATACGATGAATGACACTGATGCCCTTTATCAACAAGGTGGGCTAGGACTGAACTTTTCACCACTTTCACTTCACCATTTCCGAACCAAGTCGGTAAGTGTTCTCATATTCAGAGACGCACTTGCCTAATCGTACGCGTTACTCCTCCCTAGACCTTCAGTAAACTTATCGCAACTCCTGTCATCTTTACGCTTTAACCTTTTGTTCACTATCACATACACCTTATAATTGTAGAATTTGAAGAGAATATATTGGAAAGAATATTCTCCATTCAGATTGTTGGTTTTTATTAATGTTATGAGAATCTTTAGTTGCCTGAAATCTTACTAGGCGAAAACTCTAGAAGTTAAGCATCTTACAGCTAATTAGCAGTAATAAAAACAACCATTGGATAACTTCATCATCTGAAGAAAAGATAAGTAGCATCAAGTTGCTAGATGGAACAAAAAGAACTCGTCACACTATCTTCTATTCTTTTGACCAATCGACGAAAATGTATCTGTTTTTCATCTGCTCATACGTAGTTTATATTTAATTAGTCTATACCACTAAAGTCCTCATTTCATAAGGCTTTTCCTTGTAATTTTAAATCTTCCGCCATTTTTAAGGTAGTACTCACCATGTACTGATATCAGTTGGAGAATCACCGCGAATCAAACAGCACAGAACAGCTCTTTCTCCTTAGTCTATGACTCTTCAGCAAGACGCACCTAGGATTCCGTCAGGGGTCGAACCCGGAATCGTGTTGTTATTGTAATTCAAGTCCATTTTAAGTTTGTATTATTTGTAATGAGCAACAATTTGAATCCACAAACGAGCATGTGAAGACCTTCTATGACTTATTGAATCCATATCTGGAAAATCGTGGATTAAAGGGATGTGCATGCATTGATTATAAATTGTCTTCATGTAACTGATGAATAAGTGAAATCAGCATTATTGTCTTTACACAAACCATACTCATTAGTAAAATACCCATACCCATTAGTTCGCAAAACTTTAACTTGTAAAAGAAAAGGAAAAAGGTATAAATAGGAATAAAGTGTTATTAGATTTACGTTTCAGAAGGCAGGGTACTTTGCAATGAAAATAATTATCTTTGAGTTACAAGTATGAAGGATATGATTAGTATAAAGAATGAAAGTTGGAAATTTTACAAGATTCTCTGAATATTTTGTATAGCTTGTGTTTTTGTGCATAAAGCAAACGATGTTTATAGATGAGTTAGTGTTGTTTTAATTATACCGAGAAAAGTGACTATCCCTCCACTTCTTTAAATATTTTGTTGAAACTATCTCAATATACGAAAGACATAAGTCTATGAAGCAGAAAGATAAAGGTAACAATGCTTATTTTCAAATATCAATAACGGTTATTGTTTCAAGACAGATTAAATAAAATATATTTTCACGGGAACCATGCGTCTTATAGGTGAATAATTTGTTTCTATCACAGTGCGCAGTCTTTCATTTGGTTTCTTTATGTCAGTCTGATAGCATAACTTCAAATTTTTGTAATCGATATATATATATATATATATATATATATATATATATATATATATATACATATATATATATATATATATATACCTTTGTCAAGAATTTGAAATCGTTAGTCAGGTGATAAAGACAATTCTGATTGGACAAGACGTCCTGACCTAGAAAATAGACATTCAAGGTTAAAATGCAAATATTTACGCGAGTGGATAGGTATATGGTAGTAGTAATAATAACAATAATGATGTGTGAAAAATCAGTGTTCCATAAGCGAAAAGGGATTAATAGCTAAAAATACCTAAGAACAATTTGAGAGTTTTCATAAATAAGTTGCAATTAGATATGTTATCAGTATCAGACCATTGTCACTATCTGAAATTAGTTTTTCGTTAAGTATAAGAAGGTTGAAAGACATGTAGCTTTTGGTTTTTTAGAAATTAATAAACTCATAGCATTACAATAAAATATGATGATGGATGCTGTAGTTTGCACTTTGATTAATTTATGTAAATAATTAAGTTGAATTTGATGAAACGAAGGGCAGAATGGAACTAAAAATATTAAGCATTTAGTTAATCTTGCACTTTTACAACACTTTGAGACTGGTGATTAAAGTCACTTAATTCCGGCATTTCATCTGATTCTTCATCTTCAGAACCAGTGGTTATAAGAAAATCTCTTGAAGGTGACGCAGAAGAAGCACGACATCGATGTCTTGAACGTCTTCGACCTCGTTTACCTAGACCGGAAGTGATTGTGACCCGTAGGCTTGTTGGATTGATTTTTGAAATTCTTCTGGCTTGGGGAGTTGAAAACTGAAATAATGAAAGTAGTATTCAGTTTATAAATTATGAATCATTTATAAATGAATTACGCATACACTACATTACAACCACTTTTTAGCAAAAATATTTGAAGATAGTTGAATGAAACCTCAAAACAATCTTCACGCTAATGTTAGGGCTGTTAATAAACTAACTTCCTGGTTATTTACATTCTGAACCTAATCAGTGTAGAATAAACATAAACAAAGATATGTTTTTTGATTCAATTAAAAATTTAAAGATTTTTCAGAAATTCATGTCCAAGGTTTATTGCACTTATCAGAATAACGGGGAAAAAAATTAGGAAAATAAGTATCTAAGGGGATACGAGTGGATCGGACAAATAAAAGTGCAGAATAATTCATTCTAAACTAAGAAAGAGAATGGATGCAAATGTGAACACTTCTAGACTATGCTACTTACTTTTTCTGACAATTTAGTTCGACCTTTTTCGAACAGCAGTCAGAAACTACACACTTCCCTCATCTGATCGAGAATGAAAAACAGAGAGTGGTTCTGTTTTTGTCTAGTCAGCTTCTCCCGATACATTAATGTAAATTAAATTCCAGTATGTGCATAAAACGTCTAAGTTAGCAGTGTGAAGGTTAATTTGTTCGTCAGCTTACTACTCTTCTTCATGAATATTCTCAACTAAACAATGATATAATTCACCCCTTCTTTAAACGAATCATAGTAATGTTACAAAAACGGTTGTGGTGTAACATAAATCTTTACGTGGGGTTGTATTCCTGATTGGTATACGTTCTTGTGTCATACCAGATATCGATGTCAGCACAAATTCACAAACGAGTAAAGTTAATTGCCTATGTTCGCGTATTCATAACTGGTGATTTTGCTTATCTGTAGTGTGATCGGTTAGTCTGTAAGATCAACAGGCATATGTTTATTACACCAGTGGAAAATATCATGTAAGCCAATGAGTCATAGTTTCCTTACTCAAGAGCTTTAATTTCACTGGAATTTCCTTGTTGAATGCATGACACAGCAAAAAAAGTATCACTCAATAAATAACTTAACGAAAACAATTATAGATTTCTACTTATTTTCAAGGTAACTCAACAATTTTGAAACTTGGTTATAATAACTCTACTAATCTTTTCTATATGATCAAGGAAATCAAAGTTTTCAAGCACATGGAACACGATAAGTGTTCCAAGTGTGTAATGAAATATCTTACTGAAAAATACTGAGCCTAAGTGAATATTGTAAAGGAAAAAAGACAAATGAATTTATATGTCAAACCCATAATGCCTGATATGGCCAGAGTGTACATTACATATCCCAAGTGAATATGTATTTTAGTGTAACCTTCTAATTAGAACAGAAGGAAAAATGAGTGTGTTTTGCATTGTCAGACTACAATAATCAGTTTTTCGCTAAATACTCTAGGCTGTTTCAGACAACATCAGGGTTTCTAGTTAGAATTACGGAGAAAATCAAAAACAATGGTCACAAACATCAAGTAAAATACCTTACTAGACAAAATGTGCCCATATAGATATATTTCTACTTTTGATGTTAACTACATAATCAGTTTAACTGTATAACACAGTACATTGTGAATTATAATATTTTAGAATAAATACATTCTATGATTTTGAAAGTACTACTGTGAGTGAAAGGAAAATTTACACGTGAAGACAATCATACAGAAACCTTGAAAGCGTTACGCACTGCCATCCAACTTAGTGACTGCACCGATTTATATAAATAATTCAGTTGAATAAGTAAGTCAACAGTAGCCTAAATAGTGTACTTTGATGGTAAAGTCTCCGAATTCAAAACTCCACGATGTAGGCATAAATCACTCAAGTGACATTGAATTTTTCACGGTCGCAGATATATCTTGTTGATGAGTCTTAACAAATATGAATCCTAGATAAGAGGGGACTTTCTTTAGTTTGACTACGAACATCTCTAGAATCACAATATACACAGAAAAACAACTGGTTTCAAAAAAAAATCTTAAGGTTAGAGGAATTCCGGTCATAACCTTTCGCTAGTGATACACCGATTTACACTCCTTAAAGAATCAAAACAATCTGAATTACACTGCTGATCAGAATTTAATAGTCAAGTTACGCAAAATAATGAATGCATACTAAAACCTATCATAATGAATGAGTTGCGATAACTAAAGAAAAGAAATAAATCTATTTATTTTTTATAAAGTATGAAAGGAGGATCATATGATAAAGTATATGTGAAATTCGGATCAATAAAGCCACATGTATCCATATGCTTTTGAAAGTAAATATTTTAATGAATAAAAGGGAAAAATATGCTAACTACTCAACAAGAGATTTCAACTCATGGTAAGGTGAACGAAAATCAATGTAGGCCATTTATTTTAAACAGTTATCGACAAAAACTTTATTTATTATGTTATAGCCTAATAGACTGTCTTTGGTAAACTTATCTTGTAGTTTGTGGTAAATTAAGAGGCTAGTTACTGCATCTAACCTTACCTTACTGGTCAAATCAGCTCCAGTCTACGAAAAAAGTTATTAGAAGAAAGGAGAAATGATAAGGCAGGAAAGATAGGAGACCTTTAAGAGTTGAGAACGGATTTACTTGGTGCTGAAGGTGTGCTGTTTTTTATCCATGTATCCTTTAGAGATAGTAGGGTATGTGGTTAAGTTTTGAGTCACAAAGTATGTTATCAGAAATATTGACCCTACAGTCCACCTAGACAACTACTGATATAACCAGTTAAGCTTTCTAACTTTGTATAAATTTCCATTTCAATCAAAGTCACAGAATTTATTTGGTTATTCGAGCAGTTTTATCTGGAGGTCTTTGGTGGTTTATAAATTGATTTTACGTTGGAATTCGTTATGGACTAACATCAGTCTGGAGAACTTTGGAAACCTGGGAACACTGGATAACTATTTCGTCTTCGTGCGGGACTCCTCAGCAGTGCGCACCCATGACCCGCAGTTTCTAGTCTTTAAAGTCGGTTTATGACAAGCTATCTGAATCTGTAACCAAAAAGAATATTCATACCTTTCCATTTTATTGAAAAATGAAACTATTATTGCATTTGTAGTTCAGCAGCTGTGAAAAGGTCCTTTTATAAAAAAACAGTTCCTCTTTAATGTATTTTTGAGATGAATGGGGATTTTTATTTAGAAGTAGTATTTATCACGGATTGATATCAGCTGGGGAACCAATGAAAATCTGGGAGCACTGGACAGCTGTTTCGTTCTAGTATGGGACTCCTCAGCAGTACGCGCCCACGACCCGGCTAGGATTCGAACTACTACTTCTAAATTAAAAATCTCCATTCATCTCAAAAATACATTACTCTATAGTGCTCATTAGTAACTTGCTTCCAGATGGATATCAGGAAGTTCTAATGAGAAGCCGTCACCTGTGGGGTCAACCAGTCGGAAGTGAAGTGGATGCTAACTGAAGACCTCGGGTGACAGTCGCGCTATGTCATGAATTGACAGAAGTTGGAAATTGTGAACCACTGGAAACCAACCCACTGGCTGAATGGTTAACGCTTTCGCCATGGAACCTGAAGGTCCTGAGTTCGACCCCTGGCCAGGTCGTGGGTGCGTACTGCTGAGGAGTCCCATACTAGGACGAAACGGCCGTCCAGTGCTCCCAGATTCTCAACTGATGTCAATCCATGATGAATACTACATCTAAGTTTTTCTTTAAGTTTATTCACAAGAGACGTTCAGCATTAAACAAAAAAGTGTGAATCATGTCCGAGTTAGTGAACTTCAGCACAAATTCTGAGAGAATTGGGATCGTGACTGCATATCAGTCATTTAGTTTGAACCATTTAAGATATACTTCATTTAATCATACATTTAAAGAATGAATGCACTTTAAAGTATTGTTACGGACACTGCAAGTCAAAAATGTCATTTATAGGATAAATTTACCCATCCCTACCATGTACATAACCAATTCAAGTCATATAGCTTTGCAGATGATTAGAATCATTATAATTTTGAAGTTTTCAGTGTTGTCCGAAAGTTAATATTGAAGTTGTAAAATATGACCATTGAGCCAAACTATTCAACACTGTACCGAATTATAATTAATGAGTCACAGTGTAAGACGATTTATCGGTAACGTAATGTAATGCAGTGATGGTTTTATACTGCCATAGAAATACCAGTTTCCTCAAGGTTATGTTAACGTTTATTACTTATTATTATGCTTGTAATTCTCCACTGTTTTACTGGATCGAATTATTCGACCTATATCGGTATAAAGACTTCTATGTGAATGCCCCGATATTGCCTAGATGTTAATTATGGTAATTTACTTAGCTGTGGCTATCAGAAGAATCCAGGACAGCCAGAAGTTCATATACAAATAGAAGTCGAACAGTTCGATCCAGTAAAACAACGCAGAACTACAAGCCTATCAAAAAATAGTAATAACTAATACCCGTTGTAGAAGAGGTGGCTATCGTGCTTTCGTAGCCTAGTGGGTGAAGCTTCGGCGTTTGAAGCAATGGGTACGAAGTTCAAGTCTCATCGGGGACAACACAATTCACTGGGGTGCAGGTGCATTCAGCTGACGATTCTCAAGTAGGACGAAACGTATGTCCTGGATTTTTCTACTAGCTAAAACTAAGTAAATTACCATAGATTATATTAACGCCTGAAGACTATACGATACATCTCTGCAACCACCAAATATTTTTAAAAAAGTGAATTCTGAAGTATAGTTCTGTGTCTCTTTATTGAAATGACTGGTTGATGGCCACGTAAATTTCATAAAAGCTCGAAACTTCTCAGCAGTGCATATTGTAAACCTTATCTTTAGCAATGAACATAGTACCTTCGCCTAAACGGTACACTTTAGGTGCATGTTAACAGGAACAGTTGAATTCAGGTTGGACTGACATCAATTGGAGGAGCACTAGAAACCTGAGAACACTGGACAACTGTTTCGTCCCAACACGGAACTCCTCAACGGTATGCTCACTGACTAGCTTCTAGGGATGATTCCCGAAATCCTGATGAGAAGTCGTGATTGGTGGGGCCAACAGTGGCTCGCCGGTAACATATTGGCCACGGAAGCTGAAGATTCTGAGTTTGCGTTCTGCTAAAGAGCCCCATACTAGGACGAAACACCTGTCCAATGCTCCTAGGTTTCCAATATTCCTCCAACTGATGCCAGTCCATGATGAATATCAACCTGAAATCAATAAGTAAATCCCCACAAACCTCAAAATTAAAGAAGCAAGTGAAGTTAACTAGGTATAGACTAACCTGAGATAATTTTCTTAGGCACAAATCATCCATTGGTATATGAGTACTCTTATTATCTTTGATATTGTCACAATATATGTCAGATGATTCCCCTTCCAGTCGGCTATATCCTGTAATATTACTATTATTACTAACAGAATTATTCTGAACTTCAGGAAATAGTTTAACAGTAATAGGAGTTAGTGATTTTGACTTGATAAAATTGTCAACTAAATACTCATGATCTGTATGAGCATTATCATCACTGTTATCAACATCGTCACTAGTATGATGATGAATGCTTGTTTGATCGTTGATTGAGTTCGTATGATTATCTGTATTACTATGAAAATGAATATGATCATAATTGTTATCAATATTAATAATATTCGAACTTTCTGATTGCATATTATCATTATTTTCAACGTCGCTATCATTTTTGTTATTATCAACAGAACAAAGAAGATTTAAATGCCCCATATTTTCCGTTGTTGATGTTGATGTTGAATTATGATAGTAATCACTAACACGTCCTGAATCAGATAAATCAAGTAAACATGTGTTTCTGGTACTATGGCTACCATTATATGTTGTTGTTGTTGTTGTTGCAGGTGGAATACGGAAAGCCCAACCAGTAGCATTCAGTGATGAACTCAGACGATATGATAACGACACTGAGTCATTAGGCATTAAAGATGAACAGGATGATTGATGTGTATGAGCAGAAGACGACGAAGAGGAAGCAGAAGAACAATTAGAATGATAGTGATGCTTATGATGATGAGGATGTTGGTGTTGAGGATGTGAATGATGGTGTTGTTGATGAATAAACTCTGACTCATCATTTACATCAAATAAATCGGTTGTCGATGATTCGAATACACCACAGTCAGTTGATGATAAAGAATTAGATACAGGAATTGGTGGTGAACTTAATGATGACTGGAATTTTCCACTTTCATACCGGCGATAATCAAACGAACTAATTGAATGTAGTTTGGTGGAATTCACAGTAGTGTTATTCAAGTTACTAGAAGTAATAGCAGTATTAGTAGTACCAGTCGGATACAATGGATATAACCATTCAGAATCCCAACTATTATCTTTAAACAGATGCACCAGTTCAATAATTACTTTACCTTCTTTATATCGTTGACTTGGTTCAAAAGCACGTTCATACTTCCAACCAAGTGCTGTATCACAACATGCACAAAATATATCAGCTACAAAATGTAAACCAGTCAATAAGACACGTTGTTTCGCTTCAGCACAACGGACATTTACTGCCTTGAAAAATATAACAAAAATAATTATTATAACTAGTTTTATGAAGTTATTTAATAAATATGATGTCCCCTTTACGAATTTTAACAAAACTGATAAAACTATTTGCCGTAATCTGTTATATTGAATTAAAATAACCCTCAAAGAAAATCTTATCAATAACACAGATGATTGCAGAAAAATTCCGAATAAAACCTAAAACATAGAAAATTTTGAATGATTCATCGTTTCTTTGAAAGGTCGTACAATATGTGGAATACACTCGAACATCGAATAGTAGATATATTTCATGTACAGTTTAGTTTTTATCAACTGTTGAAATTCAAAATTCTCCAAAACAAATTTCGCTCCAATCCTCAACTTCTTTGTCTATTCAATTTTCAATAGTATAATTTTACGCCTATTCAACCTTTTTTATTTGAGATGATAATTTGCTGAGTGCAATTTTCATTATTCCCATGTTTCTAGTTGTAAATAACTATATTATGAAGTTAGTTACTTTTTTTTGAAAAAACTTTAAAAAAACTAACATCATATTTCTTTAGTATGTCTTCAAAACCTGACTTCATTTCAATTTTACACTTAAAACAATTCTGATGTAACTTTACCAACACAACTGTCATTTTTCAATATTGAAGTGTCCCAATATTTTCTCTTATTTGTAGTCAATAATTTGTATGAACCTCTATATCACTGTTGTGAAATGACGATGAAATGAAATCAATTCAAGGCATATTTTTCAAGTTTCATCATTCCCGTTTTATTCTACTTGCTTAAAATCATCTTGTAACAAAGATGTAGAGAAATGGACACAAAATAACCTATAACATAAATGGAAAGCTGATAAACTGATTCAAAAGATTAATGAGTGGTTGAATAACTAAAGGCGTAACGAATCAAAACATGAGCAAAGCCGAAATATCCTTCCCTCTAGAATTTATTGTAGTAGTCTGTTAGTAACTCATCAAAGGATCTTTGAAGTTTTAGGGTGTTTCAAAAACATGAGAAGATGGACAGTGTTGAGATATGATAAGGTGAAGGAAACTAACTACTCACTACTTCTTGCATTTAAGCGTTTTGACAATATCCACTGTATGATGTTGCATGTATTATTCCATCGTTGACTGGACCGAATTCATCGATCTCTACTGGCATATGGGCTCCAGCGTGGATGTATCGATCTTGCCGATATTTTTAATCTTGATAATAAAGATGGATATTGGCTAGTATTGGAATCCACGACACGTGTTTCGTCTTATTTGGGACTCGTCCTTGCGCATATTAACGTAATATGTTAAGTTGAGTATACCCCATAACGGCTTACTCTACATTGCCCAGTTGTGCAACCTGAATTGGATGAGGTAGACGTTGAATCCAAGACTCACTTTTTAACGGCTGAATACCTAAACCAATGATTCATATATCAATATTAGGTAACCGTAAACATAAATTACTGGATATCATTATAATGTTTAATGCTTCGAATGCATCATATATATCTTTCCAACTATTTCGTATCATATTGCAACTAACTATAGTGTACAGTTTCCGCTATTAATGAAGGATAAATGAAGTAGAGCATTCTTCTAAATATTTAACATTAAGCAAATTTGTAGTTTTGGCTTTTTCACTATGTCAAGCAGTATTAACCATCGACTATTTACCAGCTGTATGACTGCAAACTGGGGTAGAAATTAAGTGGTTTCAACTTGAAAATAAAAGAAGTATTTACGATAGATAGATAGATATAAAAATACACAACCATTCAAAAATGAAAGACAATTGACTGTAATGTTTAGGGAAAGTTGCTAACTACATGCGTTAATCGCTGATTCTACCGGATACCTTCTATTCTAATTCCGTTGTTAAGTAAATCTGTCCTTTTCTATCTACTATACTGATTCAAATAGTTAAATAAAACTTTTTTTGTCCTTATATTTTAGATACCAATCTTTTCTCGCTCATCACCTATCAAGATATAGTTTACAAATTTTTCAGGATTTAATTTGAACATATAAATCGTCCGTTTGGTGTATATATCTTCGGTGTTCATTTAGTTAAACTTGAAATTGTTTAATGATATAGAAACTGATCATAGTGGTTTCACAGTCTCATTAGAAATAGTACATCAACTATATAGACATTCGTATTCAACTTCCTGTAGACTATTGGTTGGATTCATTACAGTGTCATGTCAAAGAGTGACCACAATCTAATACACTATAATTGGTGCTGACTAGCTGATATTATGTTTGATTCACTTGAAGGTTTATATTCAATTTATTACTAATGTTTCTCGAAAATAATAACAGTAAATTCAATGAAAAGGTGAACTTTTGATATTAGGAAAATACAAGACATCTGTATTCCTTACCTGATTAAATAAATAAGCCCGTCCCTGGCTCCCTTGAAATGATTTACTTATCAAGTCATCGTGACGAGCAAGATGAGCGCGACAATGAAGACAACTATATGTCATAGAATCCTTTTCAAATGGAAAATAAGTTTGGAATTTTCCCTTGACCATATATATGATATAAGAAGTTGAATAAGACACAGTTTAATTCCACCCGATCTCTTCTCATCAACTGCTGAGCAATCTTAGTTGACAAAAACAGGTTAATCAGTAAAGATCACTGACAGTCGAATATAATTGTTGTAAGACAATAACATATAGGGCTGAAAGATAAAAAAATAATATGAAGAGCTAAGTACATAAAAAGGTAACAGTCGAAATGTGATCATAGTTAACAATTAGGAAAAAGGCAAACAATTTTTAAATACACATAAGTCATTGAGTACAGTGCCAACTGACAGCCTGTCACATGAATTATATATCGTTCCCACAAGACAGTATGAATCACTTGATCTATTCACACTAAACAGATTTTTCTTTGGTGTGTTGTGATACAATAGAAAGTCTTTTGTTTGATATAACTTTTGTACACCATTTGCACGATTAAATGGTTTAACTCATTGGGGATAGTCTCCCTTGTGACAATGGCACTTCTGAAACTTTTCGATATCATGTCACTACACGTTCATTTAGACTGGTCTCGAAGAAGTAATGAGTGTTAGGAAGTAGTTAAGAGGAAAAGAAGTAGAGCTGTGTCAGTGTTATAAATACGCATAAGATGATTTGAGATAACACAAAGTGAAGATCCTAATATAGTTTTTATGAAATACTATAAATGTGTTAACTTATTCGTGCTTACTCCCTGATTGTGTGGAAAGATACATGGACTTTGGTTGGTTCTGATGTCAGGGATTCAGCCACTTGCCTGGTGTAGTTCTGGTAGACCTAGGGAGAAGCTGAGTGTCCTTTGAACTTGAAGTGAAATGTATTACGTATCCTAGAGTTACGATGTTGTTATGAACTCTAAATGTCAAGTCGTTGAATAATCGTTTCATTGTACAACACCAATAGTGCCAGTAAATTAAACTTATCGCTTTCTAGCTATCAAATCTAGGTCTTAGGGCTTCTTTGTTTTGTTGATTTTGCTCCTCTGTTGGACAGAAAAGTCTCTCCTACACTTCTGCATCTAGCTCGTGTGAGGTTAATGATACCTGTGGGTTAGTATTTTCAGCTTGTAAGTTGGTTTGGTAAGGAGGTTACGCGCTGATGTCAAGACTAGAGATCTTCTTGTGAATTCTATCTGTACAGGTGCCGAAAATTTAATAGCAGGATGAAAGTAAAAAAGGCGTGCGAGAAGTTCCTGAGGAAGAGTAGAATAAATTAGAATGACCATTGTTAGTAGATGTGAGTTAAGAAGACAGGGGAGATAAATCAAAACAAATAGATAGCATGTGACTGCTAAAAAGAAAACTGGTGAAATACTGAGGAGTCAAATAGGAAATGGTGTTAGCTAATGAGGAAACAGGTAGTTAATTTAGTCACTAGTGCACTATGTACTTTGGTAGTATGCTATACGAAGTAACATATTTGTTCATTATTTTTAAAAAAATCTCTCGAGGGGACTGTGGCTAAATACCATGGTCTTACCTTCCATAAGGGACATGCTTTCAAGTAAAAGACGTTTGACCAAAGTCTGGGATCGGTAAATCGATGTCCAATGTTTAATGGAATTCCGTCGTGAAGATGGCTATGTTTCTGATAAGGTCCCCATATATGACTCACTTCGGTGATGATAACATAGAACATAGCAAGATACACTTATCTTTTGGCAATAGCTTGAAGGGAGTAAATTTAGGCACTTATGTCTATCTGAGTGTTTGACGTCTCTTCGACAACGACTTTTGTTGCAGTTGTCCATACTTTCTCCAGGAGACCACCAACTCTCTTGAGCATGAGAGTGCTATTGCACTGAACGATTCGAGTAGAAGCCAATCATAAGTTCCGAAAACCAACACGGGGAGAACTAAAGTGAAAGTGCTGAGCTTCTCACTAAGGAAATATTTTATCTTGCTTCCACTTCATAACTTAAGCAAGTGCTACAACTTATCCAAATCTTCCCTAAGAAAAGGTGTTGGAAAGTCTAAATCTTTTCACAATATCATGTAGTGGGAAAAACTCAGGTCTTTTAACGTATCGTATAATGAATAATGACCAAGGTGTTGACTTCTCTAATCTTTTTACTTTTTTAAGACTGATTGCGTAAAATGCTCAAAAGCCACTGTCGAATAAACTACGGGTGGAACTCAGATTCTCTTACGGAGTGGTGAAAGATTGGAATTTATTGCCAGAATTTAGTAAGCTACTCCTTCGGTGAACGCTTTCAAGGAGAAACTGGATCTTTACAGAGATTTCTACTGTCAGGATTAATATATGCTACTCAAAATGGGAGTGACTTTTCACGTTCAGCTATATTCTTGACATATTTTGTGTTTACACATCAAAGGCTGTTGTATTTTCGTTCCAATCAGAATATTATTTCACTGAAGTGAGACAAGAACTTTTACTGGGTGAAATTCTGTAGTTTCTATTATATGTTGAGCCAAAAGTGTCATAAAAATGCTTGTGGTGGGGCCGGGTGCCACTTCACAGTGGCCTCTGGTATGCAGTGTAGCAAAAGTAAGACTTGTTTCGACGACAACTTCACAAGCCTCACACCCTTAACATATAAGAGGTACACCAACACAGAATGTGTCTGGCTTTGCATGTTGTGCTGCTCGGATATTCGCACCCTGGTAGAAAAAGAAAAAGTACTCTTAAATACGATAACTAAGTCAAAGTCGATAACTGTGTTAGTGATAACGACACAGCATCCATTGACACACAGATTGCTGTGCGAATTTTTAAGAACGTCCCACGACGATCTGTAAGGCGGACGCACAGACTGCCTACTACGTTTGCTGACAGTGACTTGGAAAAAACTACACCAAGCAGGGTGAAGCGCGTATCTTCTGATTCTCATAACCCTAGAGCTTGTAAACCCAGTCTGAAAACTACTAGCCGTAAGACTAGGTTTACTCCAGATGAAACAAACAGAAGTAAGGCACTCTCAGTGCCAACCCAAAAACCAAGCAAGCAGCAGTTCACACTCAGTTTGGAGACCCAATCATTGGCGAAAAGTAAACAGAATGGAATGCAAGTTCGTTCTGAGGCCATCAGCGTCAAGGCCACTGGACGGCTTTAGTAAACCTTGCATACCCGACTCTGTGAAATGCCAAGTAACCAAATCTAAACGGCATACCAAGAAGCCAATAACGGTCATCGAACCAGCTGTCATCACTCCACAGACTAGAAACAAAGCAAAGCTCCTTGGCAGGTCTGTGACCTCCACCAAGTTAAAGAAAGTAGAAATCCAGAACCACGAAAACGTTTCGAACATGACCTTGGCAAGGCACAAAGTTCGATAAACCAGCTTTTACCAGAAACATACCAGGAGTCGCCCTACTCAAGATATATAGAGTTGACAAACAGGAGATAGTCATTACTGAAAACAAGTTTCGATTACTTAAAGTCATGTTTAAGTCAACGGATGAGTGGATCAGATTCTAAAGAACGCCCGTTGACTTCAAGGATCTGGAGTGTTCGTGAGAAACTAATTGGTTCTTGCTGATTGAATCAAAAAACGAGAACTAAAGTCCAGATTAGCAGCAGGAGAGAAAGTTCTGAAAGTAGTGGGTTTTCTTTTGGCGTGGTTTCGGCAACAAATGATGCCGAAGCCTCTACGGATGGGACGGAAACTCATTTAAGTAGTTCCGTTGTCTTGTACACAAATCCACGTAGTCCCTTAAACAAGTAGACCGAGCTTAGTAGTGTGATAAGCAACGAAAGTTCTGACATCATTACTATCTCAGAAACTTGGCTCTCTTCTTGGATCAGTGACTGTGAAACACACTTACGAGGATTTGTCCCTTTTAGAAGTGACAGGTTAGCACGCAAAGGTGGTGGTGCCATCCTTCGCGTTAAGAGTGCCTTAACTGTAAAAGCCACAGAAACGGTTGCACGTGAAAGTGGGACATGTGAAATGCTGTGCTGACGAATAAAATGCAAGGGACGACATGTTGATGTAATCGTAATACATCGAAGCCCTGATTGTGAGGCACTAGAATTCCTCTTGAGTAAACTGACCCTCTGGATAGATAAATGCTGATGCCTAGTTGTAGGAGACTTCAAAGTACCATCAGTTGACTGGGATAGACTAACAACAAAAGCACCACGTGATTCTTTTGACCACAGGTCACTGGAAACATCAATTTCCTTAGCCCTCATACAGCACATTAGGACACCAGCCAGATACGACCATCAGCATGCTCCATCAGTTCTAGACTTGGTATTCCTACACACATGGTGTATGCTACATCCGGCACCTAGCACCCCTTGATAAAAGTGATCAAGCTGTGATTATCTTCAGATTCACAGATGTCTTGTACCAGGCCGATGCTCCAGCTAGACCCGACATATGGAAAGCGAATATGGAGGCTATTAACCTGGTAACCTCTTCGGAGGGATGGAAAGTGAGTCCAGAAGCCTCAGTCGAAGGTGTGTGGTGCTCCTTCAAACAGTTATATACACGAGTGACCCAACCGTTCATTGCATGGACTGTCTCGAGGGGACAGAAACCCCCCTCCATAGATCAACCACGAGATCCGAATTTGCCAAGACGTAAGAAAAAGTGTTGCAGTCTTCTCGCCCACCTCAGTACACCCGAAGTGGTGAAGCATTACAACGAAACCCGCAATAAATGCATCGCTGCTATCCGACAGTCCCGAATATGCCCTGAAACTTGTCTTGCCCAGGCCGCATTGCAACACCCGAAAAGGTTATTTTCCTATATGAACTATAGAAATAAGACGCGTCATGGTATTTCCCCCCTAATCAATGGGTCAGAAAATGACTATTTGATTGATGATAGGGAAGACGCAGCAGCCATGCCTAGGTATTTTGCTGCACGTTTTACACAGGGATCTTCTGTGGGCACTTATCCAACAGTAGAAGCATTGATATCCAACAGAATAAACCCCGTGGATATCGATAGCAATGATATATTTCGGATATTAGGTAATCTCCATGTGGAAAAACCAATAGGATCGGATGAGCTGCACCTGAAGCTGCTCAGACAGCCTACACTCTATGTACTCGGCTCACTGACTACTACATTTAGACTGTCCCTCAGTGAAGGCACACTCCACTATGACTGGGAGGATGCCGTAGTAACACCTATCCATAAAGCAGGTTCTAGGGAGCACCCATCAAATTACAGAACGATAAGTTTGACTAGTACTGTAGTAAAAATCATAGAAAGAGCAATCAAGAAATCCATCATAGTCCACCCAGAGGGCAATACTCTACTGCCTCGTTCACAGCATGGTTTTCATAGAAAGTTCTCTTACTTGACGAACCTCTTTACAGTCGGAGAAAGTTGGGTTAAGTCTGAAGGCGTTCGACAAGGTACCTCATTCCAGTTTGTTCAGGAAACTGGAAAATTTTGGAATCACTGAAATTGGAATTGGAATCATTGGAATCACTGCTTGCATGGATAAGAGAGTTCCTTATTGGTAGGAGACAAAGAGTAGGGATCAATTCTCAACTATCCTCTTGGAAGTCGGTAGAGAGTGGACTGCCGCAAGGCACAGTCCTGGGCCTCCTGCTGTTTCTCCTATACGTTAATGAGCTGCTGAATATCACGAAATCCCTTATGGTTCTCTACGCTGATGCCGTAAAAATCTGGCCGGAAATCAGGAACGATGAGGATATACGTGCGCTTGAGGTAGACCTGAACAGCTTGTTTACCTAGACTGAGAAGTGGTTTATGCCTATCAGTGCAGGTAAATGTGTGAACAGGCGCTCTGGGCACATACACAGCAACGCCTACGATATTGGTGGGACTTCTCTACTGCCATTACTGACACGCAATGACCTAGGAATCACAGTGAGTTATGACTTAAAAACCACAGCACACTATCAATTGGTAGAAGCTCGGAGTTTTAGGACACTTTCAGCACTACGTAGAACGTTTACCGAAAAAAAACATGACATATTCACCATCTCATACACATCCTTAGTGAGGTTTAAATTAGAAAACTGTACACAGGCGGCTGGTGCTTGTCTGAAAGGTGATGCAGACCTTCTAGAAAGAGTTCAGAGGGCAGACACTCATATGATCCCTGCAATGGCTGGCCTCACCTATGATGATCGACTTAAGGAGCTAAACCTCTTCACTTTGTCCTATCGCAGAAAGAGGAAAGACCTAATCATGCTACACAGGATTCTAAGAAATGACTTTGGACCTGATCTATCTTCTCCTTCCTTCCCACTAGGTTGGAACACCTCAGAGGACATAGTAGGAGACTACAAAAGCAAAGAACGAACATAGTCTCCGCAGAGGGCTGGTTCTCGCGTCAAGTAATAAACGCCTGGAACCGACTTCCAGAAGAATTGGTGTCTACACCATTAACTATCTCGTTTGAAAGGGGATCGGACGAGGAAAAAAATCTACTGGAAAAGGATTAATATAGGCTCTCAGCCTCCTAACCTAAAACAACAAATCTGAATCTTAAACCTAAAAACCAAACCGAAAGACTACAAAGAGTAATTAACAATAATGAGTAGGCTTCACGATTGATGAAATGAAAGGCGTAAATTTCAAGAAAACAAAACATACTGCAATCTGATTAACGTAAAAAGAGTTAGTCCACACATGCTCATTTTAACTTAAAGTGATAACACGGGTGGGAGAACTCAAAACAATTTGACGAAGAAAGTAATCATATATCTCTTTAGAATTATATATATATATATATATATATATATATATATATATATATATATTAGTCAGTATGTGTATACATACTACTGAATATGGTCAATCAGGTTCGGATTTGTGGATTGAGGATAGGAGGTGATAGATCTAAATCAATCTTTCCACGTTTCTTTGCTTGTTCAGTACGCTTTTGAACGAGTCAGCTGGTGATGTGAAAACCACTACTCCTAATTAGAATCATGTAATAAAACATCCTGAGTATAAGTAGCAACAGAACATTAAAATACCATCGAAATAAGCAGTCATGGTACCAGTCTAATATCTCTGCTCAATCATTCTTGCAGCGTATGAAACTCATTCATGCAGCACTCCTTTGACACTCCGATGACCCATATATTTTTACGAAACACTGGAAACCAAGTGATTTATTCTTCCTCGTAGCTAGGCCTTGAAACTAATTTCGCAACTGTTGCTTCTAGTAGTCACACCTCTAAGGTTTAATGATTTGAAAAAATTATTTACAAGGCAAATTTTACCTGCTAGAGCAATTCGACTGGGAAAGCAACTGTAAAATCTCTTTTTTATTTACTTTCAGATATCTGGCGCCACTAATTTCAATCGTATTATCGGACAACTATGCGTATGTCTAACTGACTTATTCAAAGAAACAGTTTAACATTACTAATGACAGTCAAGCAGATGTCTTGGAATATTCTTCTACACAAACATCAGTGTGAAGATGCCCCTTCCGTTGAATACTTCAACTTGCTTTCATAACAAACCCCATTCATTGAACAACTTGACAGAGAAATATATCCAATATCTGTCTAACCAGCTTGTGTAGATCATTTGACTTCTTCGCGCTGGATTTTAGGTTTTTCGGAACGGTTCTAGGTCTTCGTCAGTTCATTCCTATCTTATTCTACCACAGATAAGTAAGACAACCCCTATTGTAATGAGTTCATTGAGGAATAATAAAGTGAAGATTCCATCACTCATTCACCGGCGTTAGACTGAACTGCGTGCTGTAACGCTTATACATCAGGTTATCAAGTTGATACCTGGCTAAGATACTTGATTCACAGTGTATACTACATCCTTCGACCTACGACAGACAGCGCATGCAGTGTTTCATGTCACACCTTACGTAACTAGGATGTAGTGTACTTTATATACCTCTCGTCAAACTACATTTTTGTCTTTTCAGTGTTTCGATGTCCAGTACCTGTTTCGCAGTCATGTATAAGTCAACTTATTTCTTCGCGCTCGCTTTTAAGTCCCATGGAATTATTCCAGTTATTTGACGGGTTTCGATGAAGTCGATCCTGCTGCTTGTCTGTTGCAACTCTAATAATCCACACGGGTGGCGGGGGGCTGGCGAAATTTATATTAGTGTATTAATTTCTGGCGATCGTGGCGTGCATGGATCCCTCAACTGTCGTTCCGCAAGATGGTTTCTGAAACTGATCGTAAATAGAGCATAATGAGAATCAAAGCATGAACAAGACAAAACAGGCAAGAAAGCTAGAAGAATGTAAGGGAAGTTAAATGAAGAGAAAGTAGGCCCCGGGCCAGTCAGAGGAAGACGAGGATGAAAGCAGTGATGCAGAGAAATCAAGTGAACGGGTGATGTCATAGACATGCTGAGGGCGGAAAAGTAACAGAGAATCGTGTATTGGGGGTAGGGAAACAGAATCGCTGGTAACAGTGGTGCCATGGTACTTGAGGAGGTAAGACCTTTTATTTGAAAGCACATGGTTGGGTCATGTTTGTGATAATGGTGGCAGTGAAAAAAGTCACCATGGAGGTAGTTGTGTCTGAATGATGCGAATTAAGTCGGTTATCTTTGGTTTAGTCCTGATCTCTACTGGATGGGCACAGGTCACATTTCACTGTCAGCCTGTCCAAGCTCTTTTTCAAGCTACAGGCGGATGGAAGTGCAACAAACTCGGCCGATAATGTGTTCTACTGACCACATGCTCAAGGAACGAAAAACTATGAACGCACACGGGTTTTCGCTCTTTCAGTGACCATTCTCTTTTGCTTTCTGCCACGGTGACGGTTCCGTGGAATTCCGCTGTTGCAGCGGTCCACATTACCCAGTATCCTGCTAGTCGTTATCAAGTTACCACGTGACTTGTGGTTACCAGATTGACAAGGAGCTAGGTCCTTTGCCCACGGTCGTATTGCTCCTGCCCTATGCTATCAACACAATCCGTGACTGGTCCACAGACTTCCTCCAGGAGGTTTGTAGCTCCTCTCACGCATCCTGGTTCGGTGGCTGTGAACTCCTAAGGTTAAATATAGGCCTCGCGGAGCTTCAGAAGGAGTCTCGAAGTGAAGGCAACTAGTTGCCTGAACATGAAATGTGGTACCGCAAGGGCTCTGGAGGCGTCTTTTGGAAATTCTGATCTGCTGTGTAGTTTGTTACTCACTAATGGTCTCAGTCGATTCTCCATGTTCTTGTAAGAAAAATGCTCATCATGGAGACTTTCACCCAGAGGTGCATGCGTAAAACGTTCTTAAGAAATAATAACGATTAAAAAGCCATGCGTGATACAGTATGGAAAGCTCAGTCTGTAACATCCTTGCAAATCAACTCCACGTAAAATGTTTTTAAAATGAGAAACTATTTCGCCTGAATGGTGCCAATACTAACAGTATCAAAGGTTCTAAAATGAGATGGCAGCTAGTTTTACTTTATCATCTATTCTGGATTCAGGGGCGTACACAAAACTGGGTTAGCCCACCAGCACAAAAGTCTGTAATGTCGTAGAGGCATCCTGGGAATTGTAACGCGTTATATTTCTGACCATGCATATATTCCATCTCCAACAGGGGTTGTTGTTCCTTTGTTTTGTTCCCGGCTTCAGAAATGACAATTTGAAAACATTTTAAAGATGCGCGAGTGTAAACCACAGGTTCAGAAAACGCCTAAAAGGTCAAACAAAGCTGGGGGGAGTAATTTGATGAAATATATTCGGTGGAAAATGTTTAGTGGCTCAAGGTCCAGGCAGACATTCTTCAGGCATTCCGAGGCCACCTTGTTGCGTGTCCGATTCTCTTCTGGAAGCCACTGCTCTTCATAACTCAGCGTCGGAGGAGTGAGGTAGAATTAGGGAACTAAGGCTCGATGAGAGCCTCGCCTGGTTAACTAGTTTACTAGTTACTAGCCGGTCCTAAGCCCGGGTAAAGAGGGAAGGTTGGGCATAGGGCTAGCAACCCTACCCCGTAAAACAAATCTAACCGCTAAAGAAACTTCAAAGCACAAACAAAATATAAAAAATGAAAACAAACTTATTCCCCGCTGGAATCGGAGAGGCGAAATGACGCCAGTTGGTGAAAGCCTTCGGGAAGCCAATTGGCAGATGTGTCTTCTCTCGATGAAAGCGAAAGTAAACGTGGGGACATGGAATGTCCGCACGATGTTTGAACCCAGTAAGGCAGCCCAGATTGCAAAGGAGATGAGAAGTTATAACATCGAAGTGCTTGGGATTTGCGAAAGCAGATGGAATGGGAGTGGACTCTCCAAACTGTCAACTGGAGAATCAATAATCTACTCCGACACTGTCACCCAGACGCCAACCACGAGCACACTGAGTTATGGAGTGGCTATCATGATGTCCTCAAGAGCATCGAAGGCTCTCATGCAGTGGGAACCAATCTCCTCCAGGATCAGGATCATGACAGCAAGATTCAACTCAAAAGGAAGAAAGGTCACAATCATACAATGTTATGCACCTACAAATAATGCAGAGCAAGAGAAAAAGGAGGATTTCTACAGACAACTTCAATCAACACTGGACAAGACACCCTCAGTTGGCGATATCAAAATTCTAATGGGCGACATGAATGCCAAACTGGGAGGGGACAACACGGGAAGAGAACTAACCATGGGTCGAGAGGCGCTAGGTGAAATGAATGAGAATGGAGAATTGTTTGCAGAATTCTGTGCATTCAACGATTTGGTGATTGGAGGCAGTGTGTTCAGGCACAAGGATATCCACAAAGCGACATGGACTTCACCAGATGGACACACTAAAAATCAAATCGACTTTATCTCAATCTCAAGAAAATGGAGACGCAGTCTACTTAACACAAGGTCAAGAAGAGGAGCAGATGTAGGTTCACACCACTACCTAGTGCAAGGAACCTTCCAAATCAAGTTAAAAGCCTTCAAGGAAGCTGGTGATAGACCTCAACTCAAGTACAACACTCGGAAACTGAAGGATGAAACTACAAAGGAGATCTTCACGGCAACCATCAAGACAAAATGGGAGACATCGAGCAACATCCCTGAAGAAACCTGTGTGGAAGAACACTGGAAGTCTTTGAAAGCTATGTGGAAAGAAACCTGCGCAACAGTATTAGGAAGGAAGAAGAAAGAAGACAAGGAATGGATCTCAATGGATACCTGGAAGCTGATAGAGGAGAGGAGGATGGTGAAGCAGAAGATAAACCAGTGCAAGGACGCTCAACGACAAGAGGAACTGAGCACAATGTATAAAACACTGGACAAAGAAGTGAAGAAGAGTGCACGCAAAGACAAAAGACACTTCTACGAAACACTGCCAAGTGAAGCAGAACAGGCTGCAGGTAAGAGAGACCTGACGACATTGTATCAAATAACCAGGTTGCTATCAGGGAAGAGACCAACACAGATGAAACCAATAAAAGATGAAGAAGGAAATTTAATTACAAAAGAAGAGAAACAGAGGAAACGGTGGGCCGACCACTTCAAGAAGCTCTTGAACCGACCACCACCTGCACTTCGTCCAGAAATACCACCTGCAGCCGCTGAATTACAAGGGAACATAAATCCCCCAACGAAAATGGAAGTCCTGAACGCCATAAAGCTACTGAAATGCGGGAAAGCAGCAGGACCAGATGAAACCCCTCCAGAAGCACTGAGAACAGATGCAGAGACAACAGCGGACATGCTCACACCACTATTGCAGAAGGTGTGGAAGGAAGAGAAGGTACCTGACGATTGGAAGAAGGGTTACCTTGTCAAACTGCCGAAGAAGGGAGACCTCAGTGTTTGCAAGAACTGGCGAGGAATCACTCTCCTGTCCACCCGGAGCAAGCAAAATATTAAGCCGCATCATCCTGGAGAGGCTTAAAGACGCACTGGATTCAAAACTGCGACCGGAACAGGCAGGCTGGATTCAGGAAGTACAAATCATGTGCAGACCAAATTGCAACGCTTCGTATCATCATAGAACAGAGCGTAGAATGGCAATCAGCTCTATACCTCAACTTCATCGACTTTGAGAAGGCCTTTGACAGCGTCGACCGAGAAGTAATTTGGAAACTGCTTCAATACTACGGAGTACCGCAAACCTTTATCCGCCTCATTCAACAACTATATGAAGATGCCACATGCCAAGTAATCCACAATGGGAAGCTCAGTGATGCCTTTGAAGTGAAGACAGGAGTGAAACAAGGTTGCCTACTATCCCCCATGATATTCCTTATTGTGGTGGACTGGATCATGCAGCAAACAGTAGGCAGCGAGAAGAGGGGGATACGCTGGACGACGGAAAAGAACCTAGAAGACTTGGATTTCGCCGATGACTTATGCTTAATGTCACACAAACTTGAAGATCTGCAGGCAAAAACTAACAAGTTGGCAGAAGAGGTGAGGCAGCTAAGACGGGACTTCAGGTGAATATAGAGAAGACAGAAGTGATGAAGATACCGCACCACCACCACCAACAACAACAACAAACTCCAATCACCGCCAACGG